ACTTTATTGATGCTTCTTTAAAGAAAAATCTACAAACAAAAGAAAAAGACAAAGAAGCAGCTGAACTAGCAATCCTCAACAACTTTTTAATTTTTRCACCAGGAGCTAAAGGTCTGTTTCAGGAAATCACATCCCCAGCAATCGGCGGTTGTAGAATTAAGCTGTAAAAAAGTTCTTAACACTGCTAGTTGGCAGTGTTGTGCATACATTGTACACGAAATATTGCCAGCTAGTAAGTGTCAAATTGAACTTGTGCTTTAATAGTAGCTTCTGCTAGTATTACTATGGCATAAGCACTTTTGAAGTTGTGGACCTAAATATTTTCATAAGCACTTTAGAAATTGTGGAGCTAAGTTTTGGATTAGCGCTGCCCACTACTGACTATTTGCATCGTATTAATTCAGTGGCACACTTAAGAAAAAAGGACCTAGATGTCTCAAACCAGCGTGATAAACATCCAGAGAAAAATTTTTTATGCAAGAGAAGTTGTGAACATAGTACTTTAGACTGGAAAAATTAAAACAAACCCAGTTCAAAAGATCCAATATCAAAACACTGACATTGATAAAATACAGGTACTAAAATATTAGCAAAGGTCAAAGTGGTCCGTCTATGGAAATGTACAGAAGCTGTGCTCTTCTCACCAGAAATGACCAATTCTTTAATAGAGCCAGGCTAGCATTGTCCATATTTTTGAAGTACAAATTCCAAACCATGGCAACTTTCTGTCAGGAGAATAAAACAAAGCAGTGCGTTGAAAACTTTTTTCAAAAATTCAAAGACACAACATTTTACACAGTCCCACAGGAGAACTGTGTTAAATAAGCCATGCCTCAGTTATCAGGTAAACCTATGCTGACTGACTTTCTGACTTTGTTGACTTCAAAGCAGGTGGGCTGTGACAACATTCTGGGCTCTGATGCTAAAGAAGATCGATGTCGTGTGTGTGGAGGAGACGGCAGCACCTGTGAGGCTACAGAAGGACTCTTTAATGAATCTCTGCCCCAAGGAGGTAAAACACTTCTGACCACTGCTCTGACTTTACAAGAAACTCACAAGAAACATATTTTACTGTAACTAGCTGTACACTACAAACTGCTCTGACGTTAAGTTTGTGTCCTATTCAGGAAGAGAATTATTTATGTAAACCTTTCAACTTTCAAAGGATGTTATAGACTATTTAAAAGGTTGTCAGAATATGTAACAAAACAAAATATTTTTACTATATTTGTCTCAGTCAGTATTCAAACTATTGATTTTATCAGTATAGTTTCCTTTACACATATTTTAAATCAAACTACGGTACTTCCACATGCTTTGTTTTATTTTTAATCAAATATGAAAACATTTGTATCAGTCGTGAATTGTCTGCTACAATTTAGGTTTTGCAACTTTTTAACTTTCCGATATATTTAACTTCATTTAAAATAAAATTCCCCTAAAAATACCTTTAGATCTCATCATTTCCATCAAGTAATAGTTTCTTTAAATTTTGTTTGATTTCACTTGCTCTGTTTATTTACTATTTATACTTCTTTTAGTTACCATTCTGCCATTTTTAGATTTAACTACAGATCTGTGGTACTGAACTGGATCCATATCTGATGTTTTTCAAAGCAACCTCAGTTAGAACAGGCGCGTCACATTTCATCTGACTTTTATATCCACACTGAAAAAAATTATTTTTGGGTGTAGTAACTTTTATATTATATTTCAATATTACTGTACCAAAAAAGTAAATGCTAATATTATTTTACCAGTAATATTTAAGTGTTTTTTCTGGACAGCACATAAACATGAATATATTAAGTAACTTCTNGAGGGGCAGAGGCAATGAGCAGACTGAGGAACAGGATGGGAGGGGCAGAGGCAGACAGGAGCAAGAACTGGGTCAAGAGCAGACAGACAGAGACAGAATCATAACATTATCCAGAAAATAATTTTTAAAATACTTTTACAGTATCTATAGAGAATCTCATGTATAGTGTAATGTACTTATTAAATCACACTTTTCTCAAGATTTTTTTTTGTAAAGTTTGCAGACAACCAAAAGGTTTTGCATACAACCAGATTTTATCAAGAAGTTGTCCACTGAATAACCTGGAAATTTTTCTTTGGTCATCATGATGCTCTCTCATACAATGATGAAATTTGTGCTCAGCTCATATTCCATTATGAAATACACTCAAGTGGAGCAGCCTACGTAAGTACCCAAAGAGCAATTAGGGCATAAGTATTTTGGTCAAGGACAGCACAACACACAAGTGTAGGGGTTTTGGGTATATTCTAAAATGGATAATTTGTGAATTATTTAAATACACAAATTATCTTACCTCGAGGCACCACGTTCTTAATTTGGTCAAGGATTAACCCAGGAAAGAGACGAAAACCTGTAACTTTATTGTAATCAGTCTCACAATAAATGTACCCAAAATCGTTTGATGAGTTCTTGTCTTATCAGAACCAATAATACTTTATCAAGACACAAAAGTGACATTAGCTTATGTTGGCACGTTCTCCACGGGCCATTTGTTTACAGATTAAATGTATTTACAACTATGGTGAGTAAGAAGTGATGACATATTGAACCAGGTAAAACTGACAGTTTGCAATCACAAGTGAATAAACAAACAAACAAAAAGTGATGACATGTTGAACCAGGTAAAACTGACAGAGTTTGCAATCACAAGTGAATAAACAAACAAACAGACAAACAAATAAAATAAACACTGAGAAGTGAGTTTGAGGTTTGGAATGAGGTGAGGTGAGTTTTGCTTTTAGCTGAGGATTTAACTAAGGAGGTCCTAGTTAAATTAGGGAGAAAAATTGTTTAGTTTACCAAATCTCATACAAAGATAAGAATCAAATTACGTCTGAGCACCTGTTTGTCACCAGGACAAATGTTCACTTTTACCCTTTTGCTCCGCCGTGTGGGTACCAGGAGGGGAAGTCAGCGATTGAAGGTCATCTCTGGGGGTCGTTTCTCAGGTAGACTCTTCATACAAGCTGGATGTCAGGCAGTTTGCCTGTAAAACTCGACTGGTCCCTTGGTCAGAGATGGGGGTCACTCCCTGGTGACAACATGGTCCAGTCCTCCCCAGGCGGCTGCAAGACTTCTTAATTTGATTTCAACTTTGTAGAGGAAATGAACTAAAAACGACGCATGAATTACACTTAGCTTATTTAACTTCTATAAAATCAAACTCAGATGTTGAGTCGATATTAAACGTTGGCTGTTCCTTCAACCCAGCGGGAGATGCAGAGCCCATAACCTGGTCAGCCATGGGAGGGGCTGACAGGGCCGGTGTCCAGTGACACTTCTGAAAAGCTGTTTCTGACTTCTGATGTTGAAAAACTCTCAAAAAACTCTTGTCAGTCTCGGGAGCTGCACTAACTTTTAAAACCTCTGTTTTGGGCGGAGTCAAGGTTTAGTTGGCCAAAAAAAATGTTACACCTTATACAGGAAAAGATCTCAGCGAGTCTGTTGGAGGTAAAGGTTTACTTTGAAAACAAACAAGGAGGGTTTTAGTTTGATTATCTCGCATCTAAAAAACAAGAGTTGTCTAAGAGACATCTTGCTTGCCTCAGTAAAAAAAGAGTGTCACACTTTTAATTAAAAACTCAAGTCATAAGTTTATAAGGATTAAATCATGGAATAAAATACACATCTTCTTCAGGAAAACATTTCATCAAAACAATTAACACCACACAGTTACCACACTGAGTCCTTAGTGGGCAAACAGTTAAAAAAAGAGAACATGGTAGAGCTTCAGTGGGTTTTGTTCTTTCTGTAAAAAGAAACAGGTAAATCACATTTCTTTGATTAAGATATATGAAAACAGACAGTTGGATAAAAACATTCAGTCTTGTTCTTTTTTTCACATTTAATGAAGAATGTAGGTCCTTTGTTCTCAGTCACGCCGAAGAGTCTGGTTAAAGACATTTATGATCCCTTTGAAGAGGAACCAACAGTCTTGTGCTTATGGGGGATGGAAGCAACAAGGACTTATCAGAATGTAAATTCTTTCAGTTTGACTGCTGGGGCGTCGTCGCAAAGTCTAGTGGGGGAAGGTGTGCATGTAACTTCCTTTGTGGCTCGAATTAACATCTCTACGTTAATTCGAGCCACAAAGGAAGTTCCATGCAAAATCCTTAAATATAGTCTGAAGTAAAAAGTGGGGGGTTTTCTTCCTTTCTCTGAGCAGTCATAGGAACAAGTTAAGAAATATAGTCAGAACTGATAATTATATGCAGGAAATCACTACACAAGCATGGTGGGGAATCAGACCTGCAACTTTCTGGTCTCTACTTGGCTATCCTACCACAGCATCATAGCCTTTGGCATTTTTTTCTACATTTAGGTACATTTTGGCTAATGTTAGGACCTGATTAGCTAACTTTAGCTACTGTTTTGCTATTATTAGCACTCTCTCTTGTAGATATACCCCTCATTAAAACCACGGCCATGATTTTAATTAAGAGCAATCTGTGAGTTCTTGAAGCCCAGAGTTTTCAAAACAGTTCAGTCACCAAAATACACACAGAAAATACACAACGAGTTGTAATTTTATTTTGGCCAGTTAAAGACTAACTGACGTTTATTAGGAGGATAATATTGGATGATTAATAACTGATTACAATGATTAATCAATAAATGAGCTCTCACACAATTAATTTTTCTACTTTTCTGGGCAAGTGAGCTAACTAGTTAAACAGTTTGTCTAACAGTGATAAGGTAAGATAAGATAAGATAAGATAAGATAAGATAGACCTTTATTGTCATTGTACAGAGTACAATGAAATTACAGTTCAGAACACCCATTCAGAAGAAGACAGAACATAACAAACATAGGAGAACAGGTGCTCTGGGTCATGTGGTCACTGACCCTGCACAGAGCAAGGATCATCTTCATGAAGACATCATGAGGAGGCGCTACCCTTAGCAGAAAAACTAAAAACCATACAAGGATAGATGAGGGGAAAAAAAACTAAGCATCATATTATATCAACAAATGTGTTTTTTAAAAAAACCTCTGCATAGAGCACATTTATTAGAAAGAACTAAGTTGAGTTTAGGGGGGCGTGAAGCCATGAGTGTTGTATGCACTTGTGTGAACATCTGAAAAAATGAGCCTGAAGTATCGAGTCACCAAAACCAGCACAACCATAGTTCAGAACATGAATGTAAAGTATTCATTCTGTGCGGCCTTCAGCCTGCTCCAGGAACCAGATCACAGATGGGTGTGTGTGTGTGTGGGGGGGGGGGACCCTGGGGGACCCTCAGTCGACATAAACATCCAGGTAGAACTTAGTTCCACAGCTCAAGGCCATGTAGGGGAGAGCCAAATCTGTAATCAGTTGTTTGGGAACAGAAGAAAATGTTTTCGGTAGACAATAACAATTTTCCATCTGCCTCCATGTCCACTGGTACATCCCAATGTGGTGAAAACAGTCAGACAAATAGTGTGGACAAATTCCGCGGAGCCGATCCATCAGCTTTCTCCAAGATCAATTCCATCTGGCCAGCAAAGTCCAGGAACCACAGCCGGCCCGCGACCCTCAGCAGAACCGCTTGCAGACCGAGTCCAGCTCTCTCAGCAATCCTTCATATTGGTCAGGCAGCCAGGAAATGGCCCGAATAGCTGCCAACGTTGTTTTGTAGAACACCAGGAGACCACCAAGCCAATCTGTAGAATCCAGTGATCAGAATCCAGATATACAGTGTATCCAGAACAGAGCAGAACAGAGGTCCCACCTTTGACAGGTCCTCCCATGGAAGAAAAAATTTTGTTCCAAAAATGTATTAAGAGACCAGCTAACCAAATCCATAAAAATACAAATATCCATAATTTCTGGTTTCAGATGAAAAACATAGAGGAGGCTCCAAGCAGCAAAGCAGGGAAGGTAAGGAAGGGCAGGAGAGAAGGGAAAAGTGTCTTACTTCCAAGAGCAGAACAAAAAAAACAAACAAGCAAACAAAAAAACTAATTAAAAGCAGGTTATTTTATGTACATACATTCAGGGTGTGTGTGAGTGTTAGTGACAGAGAGAGAGAAGAGACAAAAGAGCGTAGGACAAACAGACAGACAAACAAACAAATCTTAGCTAAAGTTGTGATCTTTAAATTGTGTATTTTAAAGCTTTGAGCCTGCGAGCCAAGATGAGCACATCAGCTGAGGTAAACCCTGTTTTACCACGTCAGGGCCAACTAGACGAAGGAAGTCGACAAGACGCCAGCTCAGGGGTGTCGGCCTGGATGTGCAGCAGACACTGTGGCCTTTCTTTGTCGGTCGAATGGATGTAGGCCCTTTGGACTCGGTGCGGTCAGCAGCGTGACAAGCAGGGGTAGCTCTCCTCAAGACAGAGGCTCGTCAGGGCGGTAGCTTTGAAAAAACTCACAGCAAGGTGGTTCCAGGGCGGCTCGGGAGTTCGGAGCAGCGCAAAATGGAAGTTATAACTCAAATTAGAAGAGATGTTTCCTTGTAAGTTCCAAAAAGGTAAAAATGCTGCGACAAAAAGAAAGAAGCTGGAAACCGGCTGTTTTCCAGCACAGAAAGGCATGAAAGCTGGAGAGACGCTCACGATGTCTTGACCCAACAAATCAAAACAACAGACTGACTGAACAGTGTGGTAGAGAAGAGTTTTAGAGTTTCAGACTGAGCATAGCGAAGCATTGTTCTCAGGACAGGAGAGATAAGAACATGAGAATCATGTTTATCTGCAGGTGTTGAGGTTCTCATGAGAACATGTGTGTGTTTTCTTTGTATGGAAGACACAAAAATCAAAACATGTCAAAGTAATACATGATCATTTAAAAGCAGGTGTAACTAAACTCTTAAAAACAGCATGTTAATAATAATAATAATAATAATAATAATAATAA